GCCTCCTTCATCCTCCATCTCCATCCCTTGTTTCTTCTCAACCAGCTTTCCTCCACTCCTCCTCCTCCCTCCTCCTCCCTCCTCCTCCTCCTCCTCCTCCTTCCTCCTCCTCCTCCTCCTCCTCCTTCCTCCTCCTCCTCCTTCTCCTCCCTCCTCCTCCTCCTCCTCCTCCTCCTCCTCCTCCTCCTCCTCCTCCTCCTCCTCCTCCTCCCTGCCGCACCACCCGGCGGGACTCTCCACGGCGGGGTGGGCGCTGCGCCCGAGCTCCCCGCACCGTCTGCGGTATTCGGAGCCCGAGGCTCCCAGGTGTACGCGGAGTGGAAGCGGGTCCTGCTCAAGAGGGGGCGCTCGCCCTGGCGCCGCGCCCACTCGTCTGAAAAACTGCAAGCGGTTGCACTGAAGGGGCCCTGGGACACACAAACAAAAATACACACAAGTGACAGGATTCCCCTTATTTCCCTATATTTTCTGGGTTATTGGCTTCCCCCCCACTTCCCATATTTCCCCATCTTTTCCTGGGAGTCGACGATTGCTTGTGTGTGTGTGTGTTTTCCCCTCCTGATACACGGATGAAGGGCGGGCCGTTTTCAGAAAAGCGATCTCGCCCTGGCGTCCCGCATACTGGTCTTCGGGCACTGCCAACATTTGAGCGGAGGGCGTGCGGGTCGTTTTCCACACTGCCTTTCGCTTTGCCGCAACGCACTCTCGACGTAGACATGTCAAGTAATGTACGGATGAGGGGCGAACCGTTTTCAAAATAGGGCTCTCGCAGTGGCGCCGCGCACACCTGTCTCAAACAATCGAACAGTCACACGCATGGAGGGCGGTCCCTCTTCAAAATGAGGCTCCCGCCTAAGACCTCACACGCACTTCTCAGCACACTCGCACAATGGTGCAAGCGTTGCGCGGATGGAGGGCCGCTCCTTTTCGAAACGGGGCTCTCGCTTGAGACCTCGGCAGGTGATACATGGGCAGGAGGGTCACATCGTGCAACGACGACACGGATGGATATTATATCTGGGCAGGAGGGTAACATTGCGCAACAACTATACGGATGGATGGCGGGCCCTTTCCGAAATGGGGCTCTTGCTTGAGCGAGTGCAACAGGTGCACACGGATGCAGGGCGGGCCCTTTTTTCAGAGCGGGGGTCTGCCGGCGTTTGACTACCTACCAGACCACCCCAACCTGGCCCGACGATCCCAATTTCGGGTTGGGAGGGGGAGCGGGGTCCAAGCTATTTTTGTTGTTCACGATTCCCCGACCCTCCCCCACTAGACATGGAGGGCACATTGAGGCCTTCGGATTGGGTTGGGGTGGTTTGGTGGGTGGTGAGCGGTTGCGCATATATGTCCTCGGACGTCCTGGCCCTCACCTTGCCGCAGTCCTGAGGCCCGCGGGGGGGTCGTCGTCTTTCAGGGGAGGCGCTCCGCGCCGGGGACCCAGATGCTTTGCAAGGGACTAATAAAAGGGGACTTTGGGCGGGAAGGTGTATTGCAGCATCGTGGGCACATTTTGGGGTAACTTTGGTCCTCCTCCTCCTCCTCCTCCTCCTCGCGCCTCCTCCCTCCTCCAAAAGGTGAGAGGTCCCTTGGAGGTGGCATGGCCCGGGGCTGCGCATGGACACAGCCCCTGGGCGCCGCCCCTCCTCCTCCTCCTCCTCCTCCTCCTTCTCCTCCTCCTCCTCGTCCTCGTCCTCGTCCTCCTCCTCCTCCTCCTCCTCGTCCTCGTCCTCCTCCTCCTCCTCCTTCTCTTCCTCCTGCCCCTCTTCCTCCCCCTCTTCCTCCTCCTCTTCCTCCACCTCCTCCTCCTCCTCCTCCTCCTCCTCCTCCTCCTCCTCTTCCTCCTCCTCCTCGCCCTCAGAGCCCAGGCCCTGCGACCCGCAGCCCGCGGCATGGTGCAGCCGCTTCGGCCGATCTCCTGTTGCTCCATCGCCCTTCGGAGCAGGACTTGCCCTCCGTGCGAGCACGCGGGCCGATGACTCGCCAGCGCGCCGGGACAAGGAAAGGGTGCTCCCGCAGACTCCGGAGCGGAGCCGTCGGGCTCCGCCTCAGGATGGCTCCCCTTCCACCCCACGGTCCTGCCACCGTTTACCCGAATTGCACTGGCTCCTCGTCTTTCTCCTGGCTCGCCAGCGAGTTGCGCGGCATCTTCGCAGTGACAGAGAAAATGCGGAGGCAGTCGAGAGGCAAGAGAAAAGAAGATGGCCCGCACGCGTGCCCGGAGGGTTCTGAGCGGCGATGAGCGGCGGCCTCGATTGGGCATAGCCCTGAGACAGTGCGTCTCCTGCTGCCCCTCCTGCTCCTCCATCCCTCTTCCTTACAGATAATTTTCCCTGTCGCACCCCAAGACGGGTATGTAAAGCGAGCCGGGCGTTTTGCCTGAGACTTCCTCACCATTGATGTTCCTGAAGCTTGAAGCTTGCAACTGCTTTGCGAATGGAGGGCGGGCCGTTTTTCTCTGTGGCTCTCGCCTTAGCGCATGGAAGGGCGGATCGTTTTCACCATGTGGCTGTCGCCTTAGCGACGGGTGCATTCGTCTTACAAGTTGGTGAGAGCTTCCCTTCAAATTTGGCTCTCGCCTTTAGCGCCGGGCACACTTGTCTCAGAAGTTTGTCAGCAGTCTCACAGCTTCTTGTAGCTGGCGTCCAGAAACGGTGTTCTGGCCAGATGCCGTATGATCACGGCACAACAGTCACGTTGTTCCGCTGCGTTGCAGTCCCAGGAACGGTGCTCTGGCACGGTGGATTTTTTTCCAATGGATTGTCTTCCAACGGGAGTCTTCCCGCAGTGGAAATAAATCGTTAGAAGAGTCTATGAAGAGGGAGCTTGAAGGGTTTCTTGCAAGAGTGTTGGTGAGTATTGAATGTGCACTGGTCCTCCTCCTCCTCCTCTTCCTCCTCCTCCCCCGTGGGGGTCCTGAGCATCGGGAACGACAGGCTGTTATCCTCGCGGAGGAAGGCGTCCAGATCCTGAGGCACCCTCACACTCCCTCCCCTCACCACCCCCTCACCCTCCCTTCGTCCTCCCTCTCTCTTCCTCCTCCTCCTCCTCCTCCTCCTCCTCCTCCTCCTCCTCCTCCTCCTCCTCCATCTCTCCTCCTCCTCCATCTCTCCTCCTCCTCCTCCTTCCTCCTCCCCTCCACCTCCTCCTCCTCCTCATCCTCCTCCTCCCTCTCCTCCGCCCTCTCCTCCTCTCCTCCCTCCTCCTCCTCCTCCTCCATCCTCCTCCTCCTCCTCCTCCTCCTCCTCCTCCTCTCTCACTCCCTTCTCCTCCTCCTCCTCCTCTCCTCTCCTCCTCCTCCTCCTCTCCTCTCCTCCTCCTCCTCCTCCCTCCTCCTCCTCCTCCTCCTCCCCCCTCCTCCTCCTCCTCCTCCTCCTCCTCTCCTCCTCCTCCTTCCTCCTCTCCTCCTCCTCTCCTCTCCCCTCCCTCCCTCCTTCCACTCCCCCTCCGTTGAAGACGCAACCAAAACGAATGTGGAATCAGAGCCGTAGGAAGCGGAAGTCTCCGAGAGCTGGCGGGCTTGACGGATGCACTGGGCGCCGCGGCAGTTCCAGAGCGGTGCGGTCTGAAACGATCTGGGAGCGTCCCGCGTGGCTCTGGACCCATCTGTCTTCAACCAGACCTGTGCGACAAGTCACGCTCCGCCTCTTCCTTTCTCTGCTCCTCCCTTTCTCGGCGGCATTGCACATCGCCGGGGCGTCCAAGTCCTGTATTTACGCCTCCGTCGTGGTCCATCCTCCTGCTCCCTCCTGATCCCCTCTCCACCTTATCCATGCCCCCCTTATCCGTGTCAACCTCTTCGATGACTCAGAGAAGCGCAATCTCCAAGTCTTGAACAGGGACCGGCCGTCCCGGCACTCCTATAGTCCTACCATGGAGTGTCCTTAGAATCCAAACATGTTCTAAGAACAAAAACAATGTTCTTAGAACATAAGCCCGGTGTGGTGAAACAAGACAGTCCCGGTCAGAAGCGTTCTACGTAAGAACACTTCGTGGGAACCACAAAAAGTTCTTTGAGCATTGTTTGGTAGGGCTACAGGCACGCCGGGACGCTTCGCCCCTGCTTGAAAGTCCCCTTGGCACCTCCGTGGCGCTCGCTGCACGGCGGGCGCGCGTCCCGCGGCCGGAGCCCGGAGCTGCCCCGGAGAGGAGGCGCGACCGACGCATAGATTCGCAGCGCGCGGTGCCGACACGCGCGGCAGCCATCGCGCGCGCGCCCTGGGAGCGCCTGGGAGCGCCGGGGAACGCCTGGGGGCGCCTGGGGGCGCCTGGGGGCGCTTGCGGGCGCCTGGGAGCGCCTGGGAGCGCCTGGGGGCGCCTGGGAGCGCCTGGGGGCGCCTGGGAGCGCCTGAGGGCGCCTTGGAAAGCCTGGGTGCGCCTGGGAGCGCCTGGGAGCGCCGGCGCCGGCGGTGCGGAAGTACTTTTCAGTCAGCGGCCGCAGGCGAGCGCGCCACCGGCGAGTCGAGCCAAAGCGGGCCGCCCAAAGACGAATGAACCTAGAGCGGTGGGCCGGAGCCTCACGCGGCACCTCGGCGGGCAGGCAGGCGAGTGGAGGGGTGCTGGCGGCGGCTGCCAGCGGTGCGGAAGTACGCGAAGCGCATGAGCTTCGAGCGGAGGTCGAGCGCCTCAAGGGCGAGGTCCCAGGCTGCGTGCGCTGCCAAATCATCCTCTCCAGTCCTGCTCGGGTGCCTCGGGCTGAAGAAGCTGGTCGAGGCCCTCACGTCCTCCACCACCCTCCTGTACTTGCATGGTTTGTGAAGCCCCTCTGGCTCTGGAAGAAGAAACTGTGCGCCATGCCGCTGCCGAAAAGGTTTGTGCCGAGGGCGAGAAGGATGTGCGCAGAGCTCGCCGCGAGACTGAGACAAATGGCCGCCGCCCCGCCCCTGCAGCGGCGCGCGTCAACCACCGCGAGTTGTTCCCCCCCAAACCTTGAAAGAATTAGCGGTAGCGACGGCTTCCCAAACACAAATCCAGAGGATCAGAACACTGCAAAACAAACTCTACTTTTACCCCGCCTCTTGGCCTGAGTGGTGCCATCTCAGCCTAGGGTGGAGGACTCGGGCCCATCTCTGGCTCCTGGGACGAGTGCGTGTCCGGCCGGCTCTACCATAACAGCCCGAGACGGCTCTGCTATGGGGTTCCCAGATCGCCACTCGCCCCCGCCCGTGGCGATAGAGGACCGCTAGCGACCTTTGGGATGCAGGTGCGAATCCATGCGCCTCGACTTCGGCGTCTGCCTCCTCTTCTGATCCTGAGGCGGCTGGCGGCTGAGCGGCAAACCCGTGTAACCTCGCAGGGGAAAGTGCCCAGTCAGGTAGGCGATGTGCAGCCACCTCCCGCGGCTGGCCCGCTCATTCCGTCGCGTCGTCGCCGTCTTCCGTCTCTCTTCTGGGATTTGGCCCCAACGCGCGGGCCCCGCCACGTCCTGAATCTTGAGTCGAAAAACCCGGCGCCCGCCATCCCATGCCCCCCTTGCCCCCGCCCCCTCCCCGGAAGATGTGTGGCCCTCTCCGAATACTGTTTTTACACGCGGTGTTCCACAAGTTAGCCTTCCTGGCGGATTTGTCAGAAGCCGATTGTTCTCAGTGTTTCACAATAGTGCTCACGCTGCAACGTGGGATTTACTTTCGGATCGGCGCTTTGCTCCCGTCGTTCAGAATGGCGTTTTTGCCACAGCGCGGGCAACTTTTCTGGATCCGACTCATTTTTCATCGTTGTCGCTCCCCTTATTTCTCCTTCTCCGCCTTCCACTGGTCTTCCTGTTCCTCCCGCTTTTTCCACTCCAGCTGCTGTTGCTGCTGCTGCTGCTGCTGTTGCTGCTGCTGCTGCTGCTGTTCGTCCTCGTCCTTCTCCTCCTCCTCCTACTTCTCCTCCTCCTCCTTCCCAATCCTCATGCTTTTCCTCCTGCTCATTCGCCACCTCGCTCCCTTTCTTTCCGATGGCGCATCACGCGAAGAGGCCTTCCTCGGAGTTCCAGGTCTGCCATGACACGCGCCTGCGGATAGAGAGTCAGCAACGCAATGATAATGGATGGGTGGGGGGTAGGATGTCATATATTGCGGGAGCGCACATTACTTCCACCCCCCCCTCCACCCTCCCACTTCCCTATCCGTTCCCTGCTTAGACAGCCGCGAGCCTTGCAGGTCTGCCTCGAGTGCCCAGGCATTCGAGGAAGCCTTCTGCTCCACCTCCACTTTTTCAAGCCTGGTGGTCCCACTTCCACTCCTCTTCCAACCCCTTCTCTGCTGGTGCTCCTTGTCGTGTTCCTCCTCCTCCTCCTTCTCCTCCTCTTCCGACTGTTCCGTCTTATAGATTGGGCACTGCGACCAGCATACCGTGGCCTTGTGCAGTTGGTTTAGCCGAGACGACATTTTGCTATGACCAGTCAGAGCAAGACTTGCCCTCTGTGCGAGCGGGCACTCAAACTCTGGATCGAAAACTTTGAGCGGCTCCTACCCGGGATGGCTTCCTCAACGACTTACGGCCCGGAGCACTAATCTATAGAGGAAAATACTCTGAGTCGGCCCATCTCCTCGCTCCTGCTCGAGCTTGCATCTTCGCTCCTCCCCTCCTCCCCCACCTCTAGTCTGCTACTGTCGACTAGCCACGAACGTAAGCACTACCTCTGCCACAGCTCCCTACTTCTGCAACAACTACTGCAACCAGGGCTGCTACTGCTACTACGGGGGCTACTGTCTGATACCGATCATTACATTCTACTGCACCGCTGCTACCACTGCTACCTACTACAACTACGACTACTACTACTACTGCTGCTATTGCTGCGGCCTCTCCTGTCACTCCGACAACCACGAGTACTGTAACTACTCCGATTCTCACGACTACGACCGCATCCGCTGCAACTGCTGCAGATAGTGCGACTACTACGACGACTCCGACTGCGACTATTACGGCGACGACGACGCAGACTGCTAATCAAACCGACCTGCCCTCCAACTCATACGATCTTCTACTGCTACAACTACTACTGCTACTGCTACTGTTACTACTACTACAATAATAACTACTACTACTACTACTACTGCTACTACGACGGCTACCACTACTACTACGACTACTACATCGACGACGACCACGACCATTACTACTACTACGATTACTAATTCTACGACTACTACCACGAATATCACTACGACTACGACGACTACTGCTACTACAACTACGTTGACGGCGACGACGACTACTATTAGTACTACTACGTACCAATACTACTATTACTACTCTTCGACTACTCCTTTTCACTGGTACAACAACTATTACTACCACAACTACAACTAACTACTACTACTACTGCTATTACTACTACTACTACTGCTACTACGACTACTACTGCAACTACTACGGCTACAACTACGACTACTACGGCTACGATTGCGACGACGACTACTACTACTACTACTACTACTACTACTACGACGGCTACTACTACGACGGCTACTACTACTACTACTACTACTACCACCACTGCTACTACTACTACTACTACTACTACTACTAATACTACTACTACTACTACTACCACTACTACTACTACTACTACTACAGCTGTTGCTACTGCTGCGAACACTGCGTGCTACTAGTTCCACAAATACTGTTACGGCGACCGGCGGCGACACCCTTCTATTACAAATAGTGCAACTGTCACTACTATCACTACGATTGAAATTACTACTGCTACTACTACTGCTACTACTACTACTACTACTACTACTACTAATACTACTACTACTACTAATACTATTACTACTTCTAGCACTACTACTGCTGCCAAACCACTACTAGTAACAACTACTACTACTACTAACTACGAACTTACTACTACTACTACTACTACGACTACTACTACTACTACTACTACTGCTACCACTACTACTATTACTACTACTACTACTACTACTTCTACTACTACTACTACTACTACTACAACCACTACCACTGTTACTACTAC